GTGTATGAATTGTGCTATACAAATAAACTTGCCTTGCCTTACTACTGGTCCTTACAGTTTCTTTGGTCACGCTTTAGTTCAGCACTCACTAATTAACTCTTAATTGGTATTTATTCATCATTTATTAGTCCTTATTCTACATGGCCTTATTCAACAACTGACACTTTCCCATGTGGGTTAGGGTCTCTCTCTGGTCTCTCTGGTGGCTCTCTCTCTGGTCTCTCTCTAGTCTCTCGCTCTCAAGTCCCTCTCTAGACTCTCTCTCTCTCCAGTCTGCTGCTAACGTGTACAGATGCAAACATATGGCTACACTTTGCTTGCACTAGAATACACAGTACTTTATACTTGCCTCTTATTTTGCCAAATGTTAAACTTTTATACTTATTTGTATTATTATTTCAAGACTTAGTTGTTATACTTGTTATTGATGCTAGAGTTAGAGATTTTGTTTTATTTTTATTAGTATTGCTATTGTTCACTTAACTTGTGCCGTGTGCTCCTCTTTCCTTCTGTTCTATAACTTGTGATGCAACACTGAAATTTCCCCACTGTGGGACGAATAAAGGATCCCTTAATCTTATTTTCTAGTCTCTCTCTCTCTAGTCGCTCTCTTTCTAGTCTCCCACTCTCTAGTCTCTCTCTCTCTTGTCTCTCTCTCTCTCTCTTTCTCTCTGGTAAGTCTCCCTCTTTCGAGTCTCTCTCTGTCTGGTCTTTCTCTAGACACCCTCTCTATCTAGTCTCTCTTGACTCCCTCTCTCTCTTGTCTCCCTTTCTCTCTGGTCTCTCTATAGTCACCCTCTTTCTAGTCTCCCTCTCTCTAGTCTCTCTCTAGTCTCTCTCTCTCTCTCTCTCTCTCTCTCTCTTTCTCTCTGGTAAGTCTCCCTCTTTCGCGTCTCTCTCTGTCTGGTCTTTCTCTTGACTCTCTCTCTCTAGTCTCTCTTGACTCTCTCTCTCTCTAGTCTCTCTCTCTAATATCTCGAGAGTAGAATAATTAACTGCTAGCTAGTGAGGGCTAATCTAAAATGAGACGTTTATTTTTCAAAGGAGTCATCAGCTGTAATTCAATAGTGTTCATAATTTCTCTCATGGGAACTCTAAAAAATACGCCTCTTAACCTCTTTTGCTTTGATTTCCTGGTGTTTCTTTGGTATACTGGTCTGTAATCAAACACTTTTTATCTCTTTTAGTGACTTTTCTTAAATGGGAAATGTATGTTTGTGTTTCTCTTGGTCCTGTGTGTTCTTAAACGACGCGGAGTGAAAAGGTTAAAGAACACAAGGATAAAAATTGAGTCTGAAATCAAAGAGACAGCTTTCGACGAGGCCCCAGAGGATTGACCTAACAAAAGCTTAGTAACTTAACTCCCTTTCATTTTTCAAACAATCACATTAAAGCTGGGGTACCTAACCAACCAGACCACAACACCCTTATTTTCATCCAATCACAAAACACGTTATCTTAGTTAGTTAGTTTTAATACAGTACAATATAATAAAAAAAATAATCATATCTAAAAACCCTGTTTCCACCAGCCCTGCTTGGCCAAACTCTACTCTACTCTGGTTGTGTTTCCATTCCACTTTAGTATCTGGTACCGTAACAAACAACAAACCGCCATATGTGGGAATTTCTTGGTAACCACGGCTTCCAGCAGCACTCTGGGCAATCACTGTCACTTAGAACAATCAGCCTGGATAGAACCAGGACCAAGAGGGAATTTCTCCACTGTGGGACAAATACAGGAATATATTATCTTAGAGTAGAGTAGAGTAGAGTAGGGTAAAGTAGAGTAGGGTACAGTAGAGTAGAGTAGAGTAGGATAGGGTAGAGTAGGGTAGGGTACCTTAGGGTAAAGTAGAGTAGAGTAGAGTGGCGTAGAGTAGGGTAGAGTAGAGTAGAGTAGGGTACGGAGCGGTAGGGTCAAGTAGAGTAGAGTAGATTAGAGTAGAGTGGGGTACGGAGCGGTAGGGTCGAGTAGAGTAGAGTGGAGGAAGAGTGGGTTAGGGTAGAGTAGATTAGAGTAGAGTAGGGTAGGGTAGAGTAGAGTAGAGTAGAGAAGAGTAGAGTAGAGTAGCGTAAGGTACAGTAGGGTAGAGTAGAGAAGGGTAGGGTAGAGTAGGGTAGGGTAGAGTAGAGTAGAGTAGAGTAGAGTAGAGTAGAGTAGAGTAGAGTAGAGTAGAGAAGGGTAGGGTAGAGTAGGGTAGAGTAGAGTAGAGTAGAGTAGAATAGAGTAGGGTAGAGTAGAGTAGAGTAGAGAAGGGTACAGTAGAGTAGAGTAGGGTAGAGTAGGGTAGGATAGGGTAGAGTAGAGGAAGAGTAGGTTAGGGTAGAGTAGAGAAGGGTAGGGTAGAGTAGGGTACGGTAGAGTAGAGTAGAGTAGAGTAGAGTAGGGTAGAGTAGAGTAGAGTAGGATAGGGTAGAGTAGAGAAGGGTAGAGTAGTGTGGGGTAGGGTAGAGAAGAGTAGTGTAGAGTAGAGTAGAGTAGAATAGGGTAGAGTAGAGAAGAGTAGACTACTGTAGAGTAGGGTAGGGTAGGGTAGAGTAGGGTACGGTAGGGTAGGGTAGAGTAGAGTAGATGTAGAGAAGGGTAGGGTACAGTAGAGTACAGTAGAGTAGGATAGGGTAGGGTAAAGTAGAGTAAAGTAGGGTAGAGTAGAGTAGAGTAGCTAAGGATAGGGTAGGGTAGGGTAGGGTAGAGTAGAGTAGGGTACAGTAGAGTAGAATAGGGTAGGGTAGAGTAGAGTCGAGTAGGGTAGAGAAGAGTAAAGTAGAGTAGCGTAGAGTAAAGTAGAGTAGCGTAGAGTACAGTAGAGTAGAGTAGAGTAGAGTAGAGCACAGTATAGTAGAATAGAGTAGAGTACAGTACAGTAGAGTAGAGTAGAGTAGAGTAGAGTAGAGTAGAATAGAGTAGAGTAGAGTACAGTAGAGTAGAGTAGAGTAGAGTAGAGTAGAGTAGAGTAGAGTACAGTAGAGTAGAGTAGATTAGAGTAGAGTTTTTCAGGTTCGCATCAGGACAGAGATTGTTGTGTCACACATTAACCAAGACTGTATCCGTCTCTTCTTTAATCTGTTTGTAAAATCAAGACGAGGCACGGGCAGAACATTCAAACTGGGTCACGTCTTCTCTCCGACGTCTCCAACTGAGCGTGGAAGTTATTTAGGACCCGGCCGTTTCCATTCTTAGCATTAGCACTGACCCACTGACCCCCGAAGAGACTGAGAGGTCATCAGGAGCATTTGTAAAAACAGCTCAGCTAATATTATGCCATTTCCCTCTGAGTCTGATCATGGCCTGTGATAATAGCAGTGAGAAATGTACCTGTGCTCAGTAATTAAGCAGTTCTAGCTTCTTTACACTCTTTGTATTGGTAAAGAGAACCTTCTAAAACTGTACCTATGCTCAGAGCGGGAAGATGGAGTCTGAGAGTATTTTCTATTTGCAGTAAAATCAAAGTATTTTTTGTTATTGTATTGTTATGTGTTTGAACAACAGGGATCGGATTAGGTTTTCTTGTTTACTCTTATTATCATTTTTTCTGTGAATAATTGTTTTGAAATGAATAGACAAATAAAAAATAGACAAAAGTCCCCAGTGTGCATGAACTGTTTTATATCAAAGTGTTTTTATATGATGTGTTGGACTGAGTTCAGTGAGTTTACAGAGTTCAGTGCAGACAGCCTCGGAGTTGAGACCGGACCACACCCAGACCAGTCCAGACCCAGACCAGGCTCTCCTGTTTTACCAAATATGAGGCAAAAATTATGTCTTTGGCGGCACTTTCTCTTCTTCTACACATTTTCATAAAACTGTTTTGAATGACATTGTCAGTCTGAGCCACGGACAGAGAGAGGACTTCGCTAAGAACCTGAAAGTCTTCTATTCGTTTTCAGGCCTGGAGGGACAGTTATATGTGAAGTAGGAGCTCAGAGAGTTTTGTATTAGTATTTAACTGTAAAGATTATTAAATATTATTCATTGGAACTCTGGAATATCTTTGTCTTCTTTTCTGGTCAAATTCTGAATCACGTCAACAAAACTCCACTCGTCTGGGCGCTAACCGCTAACTGCTACAGCTAACAATATTCAACTCAAAGAAGCCAAGGAAAAGGCTTTAATCATTTATAAAGTTTTTATTTTTTTACCTTTACTAGCTTACTTTTAATACGTGATAAAACTGATGATTATATAACTTTAAATACAGAAAAAAAACAGTTAGGTTAATGCTAAGGACCAAATCTTAACTGCCAACAGTAAACAGTGTGTTGCTATGGTAACCAGCACCGGCTTTTCTCCAGGGGAAAACCAAACTGAACCAGAACCTTGATAATACGGCTTTAGATCGCATGGGGCTGAAAATTTGTTTTAGCAAATGATATAGAATCAATCTTTGGGCTTGGATATGTACCTATGTGTTTTTGTTAGGTACTTTTTATATTGTTTGTATAGTCATTCTTTTGTGTGTGTGTGTGTGTGTGTGTGTGCGTGTAATATATTAATGTGATTTAATTTAATTTAATGTAATTAATTATGGAGAGACCCCAGGAGGAATGATGAACTAAACTAAACTGTACCTGACTCATATTGTACTTAATCTCCGTACATTCAAAAATACATGGAACAAACAGCATATTACAGTAAACTTGTATCTAACAAATGTGAAGGATTCTTGGATTGTCTTGTTTGTACATTTCCCTCATTGGCCCAAAAGGCACAAACTGTAAAACGGAAAGTTCTGGATAAACTCCTCCATATTTACTTGTCGCTAATGCCCCAACATTTCCCCCTCTCTCTCTTTGTCTTTCCCCATCGCAAGAAACTGGGATGAAGCCAGCCGAGTAAAAAGCTTCTCCATGGCAACGCACCGTATCCAAGGAGAAAGTACAAGAGGCGTGCGGCCGCGTGGTGTAAGAGCGCTGTGTGGGAGATTTAGGACTGATTAGGAGTGTGTGTGTGTGTGTGTGTGTGTGTGTGTGTGTGTGTGTTTGTGTGTACAAACTCACTGAGCGAAAGGCAGCAGCCACCAAGTTGGATGGAAATAGGTTTCTGGATGGAAAAAAGACAGAAAGAAATTAGTGGGATTGTTTCGACCTAATCCTGGATCTACAGCCTCAGTCCTGGATCCACAGCCTCAGTCCTGGATATACAACCTCAGTCCTGGATCTACAACCTCAGTCCTGGATCTACAGCCTCAGTCCTGGGTCTACAGCCTCAGTCCTGGATCTACAGCCTCAGTCCTGGATCTACAACCTCAGTCCTGGATCTACAGCCTCAGTCCTGGATCTACAACCTCAGTCCTGGATCTACAGCCTCAGTCCTGGATCTACAGCCTCAGTCCTGGATCTACAACCTCAGTCCTGGATCTACAGCCTCAGTCCTGGATCTACAACCTCAGTCCTGGATCTACAACCTCAGTCCTGGATCTACAGCCTCAGTCCTGGATCTACAGCCTCAGTCCTGGATCTACAACCTCAGTCCTGGGTCTACAGCCTCAGTCCTGGATCTACAGCCTCAGTCCTGGGTCTACAGCCTCAGTCCTGGATCTACAGCCTCAGTCCTGGATCTACAGCCTCAGTCCTGGATCTACAGCGTCAGTCCTGGATCTGCCCACAGCAAATGCATTGAATTGATTTTGGTTTTTTGCCTAAAATAAAATTAAAACGTTAATAAGAAGAAAAAAAAACTAATTGATTTTACATTTGGTCCTTGGCTCCCGCAGGTGAAATAACGACCAGCGTTGAAATGCTTCGCCGTTCTTTGGATGTGCACGAAGAGATCAAAATGAACGATGAATAAGGTACGTGATCCGTTTCCGCGAGGGAACGAGAGGTGCACTGATCAACAATAATGACTGCAATGAATGATCAACTCACACATGTTGAAAGTACTGAATGCTCACATAGTTTTGAGGATGATTTGGACATAGAGAAGAATTTCCACCAGCAACCAAACTATGCGTGTAAATATTACACTGATGCTGAATTCAACGACGAAGTTAAAGCGGAAAAAACAATTACGTCCATTCATTTTAACTCCCGGAGCATGTATTCAAATTTTGTTGAAATTCAGGAGTATTTAAGCACATTAAATAATACATTTACGGTGGTTGCCTTAACTGAGACGTGGTTAACAGAGGACAAAGGTGTGGAATTTAATTATGAAGGTTATGAGTTCTTTTATGTTAATAGAACATGCCGGAAAGGAGGTGGAGTTGCTTTATTTGTCCGTAGTGATTTGAAATGCAAACGTGTTGAACACATGACAACAGCAATAAATGATTTAATGGAATGTTTAACCGTTGAAATTGAAAGGGAGAACGAAAAAAATATTGTAGTTTCATGTATCTACAGAACTCCAGGCTCCAGTATAACTACATTTATTGAAAAACTGGAAGAAATATTTTTTGTTTTGAATGAAAATAAAAATATCTTTATTTGTGGAGACTTTAACATTAATTTGCTTAATTTGTCTACTGATGCCAATAGTTCCAATTTCCTGAATGTCATGTACAGTAAAGGCCTGTATCCAGCCATCACAAAGCCCACTCGAGTCACTCCTAGTTGTACTACTTTGATTGATAATGTTTTCTTAAATGTGGGCTTGCTAGAAAATTCAGTTAAGAGTGGTATTCTGGTAAATGACACAACTGATCATCTTCCTGTATTTGTAATTTACTCATGTGAAATGAAAAAGAATGAGAAAAAAAAGCCCATAGTTCTTAGAATAAGAAATGAGGAAACATTAAGGAAATTTCATGATGATCTCTTAAAGGAACAATGGGAAAGTGTTTATAAAGCTAACGAGGCAAATGAGGCATACAACAAATTCCTTGAAAGATACATGCTGTTGTACAATAAGAACTGCCCCAAAAAAATATTTGAAGATAAACCAAAAAATTATGAGAAGCCCTGGTTAACAAGGGGGATATTAAGAGCATGCAAAAAGAAAAACAAACTCTACAAAGATTCCTTAAAATTGAGAACACCAAATGCTTATAAAAGATACAAAGAGTATAAAAACAAATTGACCAGTATCAAGCGTAATGCAAGAAAAGATTATTATTCAAACATATTATCAGACAATAAAAGTAATGTCAAAGAAATGTGGAAAGTTCTGCACCAAGTTATAGGCAATAAAGTTATTCACAGTCACCCATCCTTCTTGGTTAATGAACAGGGCAGACAGATGGATCCCGCAGAAATGGCAGATGCACTGAATTCTTTCTTTGTTAATGTTGGCCCTAACCTTGCCAGATCAATTCAAATGACAAATCACAATGAAGATAATTGGAACCATGAAAATAAAGTTATGCAATCCTTATATCTGGATGAAGTCAGTGAAACTGAAATTATTGCCTGCATCTCTAAAATGAAAAATAAAAAATCATGTGATAGTGATGGTTTAGATATGTTCATTGTGAAAAGATCTATTGATTGCATCTGCAAACCTTTGAAACATTTTATTAATCTTTCTTTTAACACTGGCGTTTTTCCAGACAAAATGAAGATAGCGAAGATAATCCCCATCTTCAAATCGGGTGATAAGCACAGTCTGACAAACTATCGACCTATATCGTTGCTCTCCCAATTTTCCAAGATACTAGAGAAGCTTTTTATCGATAGGTTTGACAAGTTTATTGAAAAAATTTTTCTGTTAAATGACAGTCAATATGGCTTTAGGAGTAATAGGTCAACAGCCCTTGCACTCATGAAAATAACAGAGGACATTACAACTGAATTAGATAAAAAAAATTACACAATCGGAGTCTTTATTGATCTGAAAAAGGCTTTTGATACTGTTGACCATCACATTCTTCTCAATAAATTACAGTCTTATGGAATTAGAGGTGTCGTGTTGCAATGGGTTGCCAGTTACTTGAAAAATCGTCAACAATATGTAGATTTTGCAGGACACCTATCAAAGAGTCAGCAGATAAATTGTGGTGTACCACAAGGGTCTGTTTTGGGGCCAAAATTTTTCCTTTTGTATATTAATGACCTTTGTGATGTGTCTAAAATACTTAATTTTGCACTATTTGCAGATGACAAAAATTTCTTTTGTTCTGGGACGAATATAAGTACTTTAATTACTACTATTGAAAAGAAATGGTCCTACTTCAAAAATGGTTTAATGCCAACAAACTCTCCTTAAATGTAAGCAAAACCAAGTTCAAGCTGTTCACCAATCAAAAAAGGGTGGAAGATATTGATTTATATTTTAATGGTGTTAAAATCGAAAGGGTTTCCGAAATTCATTTCTTAGGAGTCATTATTGATGAAAACCTAAAATGGAAGCGACACGTTGCTTCAACAAAAAAGAAAATCTGTAAGAATCTTGCCATATTGAGCAAAGTTAAATATCTGTTAAATTACAAGGCAATGCAAACTCTATACTGTTCTTTGATCCTCCCATATTATATGTATTGCCTTGAAATCTGGGGCAACTCCTACAACACTAATTTAATTTGCCTGGCCTGCCAAACGATATGCTTTTTCAAAGACATATAGTCTGGGAACGAGCTTGATCTCAGCGAATTCCCGGTGGGCGTGGTTGACAGACTGCATCAACCAATTAGATGCACACAGGATATGACGCAGCAACTAGCGGCACCCAAGCCGTTTCAGTAAACACAAAACAAGGGATGGCGGCATGTCAGCTAGTGCAAATGTAAACGACTGCTGTCGATTTTGTAACAAAAACTTAAAGATACGAGGAGTTATTAGCAACTCAAAGGTGAAAGGAAGTCCCGCCTCTCGGTGCGTGATTGGACCGATGTGGGTAAAATCGTGAAATGATAGGCTAGGAAGAGGTGTCCAGACGGTTCTTCTTTTGAACAGAAAGGAGGAGTGTCTGGCAGGCCAGGCAATAATTTAATACCTTTAGTCATTCTACAAAAAAGAGCTTTACGAATAATACACAAAACTGCTCCAAGAGAACACACAAATGAACTATTTTTGAAGTCAGGACTGTTAAAAATGAAAGATTTAATTGTATTGCGGACATTATTGATTATGTTCAGAGCAAAACATTATTTATTGCCCCGTGGCCTTCAAATGTTTTTCTTGGTAAACTATGAAATCAGCAGAAGGAATTTGGATTTTAAAATGCCTTTTGCAAGAACAACACTTAAACAAATGTCCATCTCATACGCTGGTGTAAAACTGTGGAACTCTGTGGACAATGAATTAAAAACATGTTCAAATATATTACAATTTAAGTTTAAATGTAAACAAAAAATGATCAAATCTTATGTTAAATGAAGTGAGAAATAGTATTGTATTTGTATTTGTTGTATTTTGACACAAAGCCATCTATGTTTGTTGTCTTACTGTCATAAGATTGGGGTAGGGGTTTAAATAAGACTTGGTCTTCATCCTACTCCTGTTCTTTATGTGACTGTAATGTTATATAAGAACGAATAAATAAATAAATAAATAAATAAGCAGCACTAGCATCTTTACTACGCCTCTACGTCTTAAAAAAGAACCTGTACTTGTGCACATACAGGAGGTATATATTAAACATGTTAAAGTCAAGGTCAAGTTTAATGTCTAGAGCAAATTTACAACAAAGTGCTGCTGACAAGGTGATAATGGAGAGAGAAAAGTTGTGATTTTCTCCAGTCTCTTGTTCACTGTAGATAAATGACTCTCTGTGTCTTTAGTCTCCACTTCTCACACTTTTCATCAGGTAGAAGCAGCAGGTGTCAGCAGTGCTCAGGACAATAGGACAGAGTTACAGGGAAATACCAGGATCCACAGGAGACGTGACCCGTGTGGGGAGAAGAGGCCGAGAGGACACCGAAGACCAGGTCTAAACAGCTTCACATTTCTACTGCTGGGTTCGAAGACCAGGTCTAAACGCAAATGTGGTTTCCAATGCGACGAACAAAAATGTCAAGCTTGAAAAGAGACCAGATAGTTTTCCCCTTTTCTCAAGTGCCCCGCTTAGATCCTGGTAGTATTTGATTATTATTACCATGTGCAAATATTATGTACAGTGCGAAAGTATCCTTTCAACATTTCGCCACATTTCAGGCTTCAAACATAAAGATATAAAATTTTAATTTTTTGTCATGAATCAACAACAAGTGGGACACAATCGTGAAGTGGAACGAAATGTATTGGATAATTTAAACTTTTTTAACAAACAAAAAACTGAAAAGTGGGGCGTGCAATATTATTCGGCCCCTTTACTTTCAGTGCAGCAAACTCAGTCCAGAAGTTCAGTGAGGATCTTTGAATGATCCAATGTTGTCCTAAATGACTGATGATGATAAATAGAATGCACCTGTGTGTAATCAAGTCTCCGTATAAATGCACCTGCTCTTTGATAGTCTCAGGGTTCTGTTTAAAGCGCAGAGAGAACCATGAAGACAAAGCAACACACCAGGCAGGTCCGAGATACTGTTGTGGAGAAGTTTAAAGCCGGATACAAAAAGATTTCCAAAGCTGTTCCCTGGACACAGTGCAGCAGGTGGAGGACAGGAGGGTCCTGAGCAAACTAACATCTATGCTGGACCATGACTGTCGCCCCCTGCAGGACACTCTCTCTGCTCTGGAGAGCAGTTTCAGTGACAGACTAATTCACCCTCGCTGTGTGAAGGAGAGGTTCCGTAGGTCTTTCCTTCCTGCTGCTGTCAGACTGTACAACAAGAACTGCTGAGCCTATAAATTTCATTCATCTGTAATTAAGTAAATTCTTAAATCATGTGCAATGTGCAATACTGCAACTTCAGGATGTCACAGAACTATTTAACTGTACAGTATATAACTGCACTACTACTACATATATATATTTTGACTGGTATTGAAGCATTTTCAGAATCTACAGCTAGTTATGTTAGCTAAGAAACATAGCTACTACTTATTTGTATATATTGTGTGTGATCCCTGTGTGCTCTTACTACTGTCCTATATGTGCGCTGCAACTTTGAAATTTCCCCACTGTGGGATGAATAAAGGAATTCTTATCTTATCTTAAACATCTCAAGGAGCACTGTGCAAGCAATTATATTGAAATGGAAGGAGTATCAGACCACTGTAAATCTACCAAGACCCGGCCGTCCTTCCAAACTTTCATCTCAAACAAGGTGAAGACTGATCAGAGATGCAGCCAAGAGGCCCATGATCACTCTGGATGAACTGCAGATAACTACAGCTGAGGTGGGAGAGTCTGTCCATAAGACAACAATCAGTTGTGCACTGCACAAATCTGGCCTTTATGGAAGAGTGGCAAGAAGAAAGCCATTTCTCAAAGATATCCATAAAAAGTCTTGTTTAAAGTTTGCCACAAGCCACCTGGGAGACACACCAAACATGTGGAAGAAGGTGCTCTGGTCAGATGAAACCAAAATCGAACTTTTTGGCCACAATGCAAAACGATATGTTTGGCGTAAAAGCAACACAACTCATCACCCTGAACACACCATCCCCACTGTCAAACATGGTGGTGGCAGCATCATGCTTTGGGCCTGCTTTTCTTCAGCAGGGACAGGGAAGATGGCTAAAATTGATGGGAAGATGGATGGAGCCAAATACAGGACCGTTCTGGAAGAAAACCTGTTGGAGTCTGCAAAAGACCTGAGACTGGGACGGAGATTTATCTTCCAACAGGACAATGATCCAAAACATAAAGCCAAATCTACAATGGAATGGTTCACAAATAGACGTATCCAGGTGTTAGAATGGCCAAGTCAAAGTCCAGACATGAATCCAATCGAGAATCTGTGGAAAGAGCTGAAGACTGCTGTTCACAAACGCTCTCCATCCAACCTCACTGAGCTCGAGCGGTTTTGCAAGGAAGAATGGGCAAGAATTCCAGTCTCTCGATGTGCAAAACTGATAGAGACATACCCCAAGCGACTTGCAGCTGTAATTGCAGCAAAAGGTGGCGCTACAAAGTATTAGCGCAAGGGGGCCGAATAATATGGAAGACTATTGGCACCTTAATTCAATTGTCTATTCATTTGTCAAATGGCTATGCATCATGTTATTTTAGTATTTATTTTGTATTTGTATTTGTCAAAGTGTAAGCCAGTAGTGTTTTCTAAAAAAAAAAAAAAAAAACTACTGGTATTTTAACAAACACACTTCTATACTTACATAGAACCTCCTTTGAGTAACTTGGAATCTTCATGAAGGGTGATCTGTTACTTCCAATCCGTCATAACTGCATTTACTTCCAGCAAAAATCAACAACACAGCGCATCTAGCTAGGAGGATATAGACTCGTCTCTGATTGGCCGAGAGCGGACCAGGGCCCGCCTTCCCAGGGCTCAAGAACTGCATAGCATATTGAATTAAGTTGCACTCAAACCATGTGGCAATGCAATATGCAATATGCAATATGCAATGCAATCCAGAGGGAGGTGCTGTTTCACAACACATTAAATGAAACTTAACATACTCAAATGTGGAATACAAGTCAAAATAGGATATAACATGCAATTTTGCCAAATACAACTCTAAACTGCCATGTTAAGAATGAATAGAACAATGAATAAAGAGGCCAAAATTCCATGTCAATATGCTATTCATTTCAAAATCTTGTACCTTGCAATATATAAAGACATTGTATCGACACTTTACATATTGAATTGCCATTAGAACTTTTGGAATAGAACATTAAATGTCAAAATTGGATATAACATTACACTTTGACAAATACAAATACAAAATAAAAACTAAAATAACATACTGCATAGCCATTTGACAAATGAATAGACAATTGAATTAAGGTGCCAATAGTCTTCCATAGAATAATATTGCACACCCCACTTTTCAGTTTTTTATTTGTTAAAAAAGTTTAAATTATCCAATAAATTTCGTTCCACTTCACGATTGTGTCCCACTTGTTGTTGATTCTTGACAAACAAATTGAATTTTTCTATCGTTATGTTTGAAGCCTGAAATGTGGCGAAATGTTGAAAGGTTCAAGGGGGCTGAAAACTAACTGTATATTAAAATGCGTATTCATAGATCTATCGCACGTTTATTACATAAGTTAAGGAACCTGAGCTTACTTGCAAACTCTCTCCAAAGAGACCAGAGAGAGAGAGAGCAGAGAAGGTCAGAGAGAGTAGCGAGAGAGCAGAAAGAGACCAGAGAGAGACCGGAGAAAGACCAGAGAGAAGAGAGACCCGAGAGAGACCAGAGAGAGCCCAGAGAGAGACCAGAGAGAAGAGAGACCCGAGAGAGACCAGAGAGAGCCCAGAAAGAGACCAGAGAAAGACCGGAGAAAGACCAGAGAGAAGAGAGACCCGAGAGAGACCAGAGAGAGCCCAGAAAGAGACCAGAGAAAGACCGAAGAGAGAGCCCAGAGAGAGACCAGAGAGAGACTGGAGAAAGACCGAAGAGAGAGACCAGAGAGAGACCAGAGAGAGCCCAGAGAGAGCCCAGCGAGAGACCAGAGAGAGACCAGAGAGAGATTACTTTTACAGGTAAGTTAATAGGAGCGAGTTGGAGGCTGGTCCTGCACCTGTTGCAGATAAACCGTCCTTTAATTCCTGTGTTTCATGCAGTCCTTGTTGGAAGAACTTCGTAAATGTCCTGTTCCTTTAGAATAATCCGGTAAAAAGTGATTTTTAGTACATCAAATGTATACAACATAATATGAAAAGCAATGTAGAGTTATTTCTATATCAGATAAATGCATTTGTTGTGGTTTCCCTGTACAAAGGCCTTCAACATATTCTCCATGATCAAGACTCAAGCTCCAAGCTCAGGGGTCTCATTATGTCATTATTCTGATCCCTGTGGACCACACACCCCGCCTTTTAAGATCAGAGCTCGTCGGCCAATCAGAGAGCGGCTTCTTAAGTGAAGGGGACAGGTCTGGGGGGCCCCTCTGAGCCACACCAGCAGGAAGGAGAAGAATCAGCAGTAAACTTGTTAGAATCATATTTGTGAATGACAAAGAATGTGTATTTCTTCTATGTAACGTTTTAACCATGTTTCACTCATGTTTAGGCTAAGTTTGAGGAATCATTGAAAATAGAGAGAGAGAGAAAGAGAGAGAGAAACTAGAAAGACACTAGAGAGAGAGCGGAGAGAGAGAGACCAAAGAGAAGGCAGAGAGAGAACAGAGAGAGAGAGAGACCAGAGAGAGAGAGAGACCTGAGAACAGAGAGACCAGAGAGAGAGACCAGAGAAAGTTGGAGCAAAACTTTGTCCATGAGTATTTCCTTGGGCTTGATTGAGCTAGTGGGTGAGAATTGTTCCAAATGACAGTGACAGACCTGGGGGGGGGTCAGTGTGGGAGACTGAGCCCGATCCTGCACCTGCTGCAGATAAACTGTCCTGGAGCTAAAAACACTGTAATGTAATGTAACACAGCTGCTCTGGTCCCACAGTCTCAGTCCTGGTCCCAGCCCTGGTATTGTTCGGAGTCCTGGTCTCTGCCCAAGTCTGGGTCACTTGTCTCTCTCTCCCTGTTCTCTCTCTGGTCTCTCTCTTTCTCTGGTCTATCTCTGGTCTCTCTCCCTCTCTCTCTCTGGTCTCTTTCTGATCTCTCTCTCTCTCTCTCTCTCTCTCTCTCTCTGGTCTCTTTCTGATCTCTCTCTCTCTGGTCTCTCTCTAGTCTCTCTATCATATTCAGTCTCATTTTGAGGAGACTCCATAAAGAATACTCGCTGCACCTGTGGTTTTAACGGGGATCCAAATGAACTAAACTAAACTATCTACCAACAAATGTCTAAAGACTTGTTTTAACATCTCACCTGGCCAGATCCAGAAACGAGTCCGCGGTCTCCTTGTCTTTGCTCACGCTCTCCAGCGCCAGATGGTTGGTGTTCAGACCCCCGGCGCCCACTCCGGGTTTGATGATGAAGGCCAGCGTCACCCCGATCCCCGACGCTATCAACGTGGTCACCAGGAAGTACCCCACGGCGATGCCCCCCAGCTTGCCCAGGGAGCGGGTGTCCAGGCTGGCGGCCCCGGACACCAGGCTGCACACCACCAGCGGGAGGATGATCATCTTCAGCATCCGCAGCAGCATCTCTCCGGGGAACGCGAAGTAAGTCATCTGCGCCTTGGTCAGGTCCATTTTACGCACGGCCATGCCCAGTCCTACGCCTACGATCACGCCAGAGACTGTCAGCAGCACCAGCAGGTTCTTACGCAGGAACACACACAGCTTTTGCCCCAGAGAGAGCTTCTTCTGGAGGTTCTCTGTGGATGGAGAGCGCTCTGGCATCACGTGGCCGTTCTGCTCGCTCTTCTTGTCCGGTTCCATGTTCCCGCCTGGTCCTGGTATAGTCGTATAATAACTGAATAGTAGCCGTATATTCGCTCACACGCGCTCCTGGGTCTGCTTGGCGCACGTTTGAGACGCGCAGCCGCCGTGTGGAGACCGGATTACGCACGGCTCAGCCAATAGACGCACAGGACGACAGCAAAGAGACTGGCAACGGGGCATGCGCAGTCTGCACGCCGGTTCCGTTACGTTACATGATGCAAGAGACGTGGGTGTTGCCTGTATTTGACACGCTTTCTGGGGGGAGCGTGTGGGGACGGGGGGACTGGGGGGAGGTGGGGCGGTCTGGGATAGATGGGAGGTATGTGTGTGTGTGTGTGATGTAGACTCTTTGTGTTGCATCCTTTCTGCAGAAGATGATGCAAGAGCTGGCCGCAGGGAAAGTCAGAGACAAAACTACAGTGACATCACAACAACTCACTATGATGGACATAAAAGCTCTAGTTCTTTTGAGAACAACGATAAATCACAAATCAGAGAATCAAAAAGATCAGAAATGCAATAATAACAAACACACATCAGCCTTTGGTCCATAGGGAGCAGGATGATCACTGTCCAGATGTTATTTTATTTCCTGGTTCATCGCTGTCGACCCTCTTGTATCAGAAAGGAACCACTCAAAATAAAATTAAAAACAGTGAGAAACTCAGTGAGACCCATATTGAGAGGTGGATCTGCTCCCATGGAAGGACAGGCTGTGGATTCAGGACTGAGACTTTGGGGATTTGACCATGTTTAGTCCTGACTCTGGGACCAGTAGGAGGTCAGTCCCTGTGCTCCTCAAAGTCTATTCTCTGAGCCACAGGACGCAGAGACCTGAGACCAGGACTAATGTGATGGTTCAAGTTTCTGGTTCTTGTCAGGAGTCGAGCTGCAGTGTTTTGAATCCTGTTTGGAGAGACCTTTGAGCAGCTATGACAGAAGTCTTAACACTGGAGGCAAATTCACAACAGTTTTATACTTTTACTAAACTCATTACTGATTGAACTTTGAGTCTGTCTCTGGCATGTTTGCACTTTTGTTAAACATTAAGACATTGGGTCATTTCTCCAACCAATCAAATCCATTATCCAGTGTTTGTTATCAAGTATTTTGAATCCACAGAATCTGAGAAGACTCTTTTTCAGTGTAACCTAGAGATATTATAATCTCTATAGAGACCAGAGAGATCAGAGAGAGATCAGAGAGAGATCAAAGAGAGATCAGAGAGAGACCAGAGAGAGACCAGGGAGAGACCAGAGAGAGACCAGAGAGAGACCAGAGAGAGACCAGAGAGAGACCAGAGAGAGACCATATATGAGACCAGAGAGAGACCAGAGAGAGACCATAGAGAGACCATAGAGAGACCAGAGAGAGACCAGAGAGAGACCAGAGGGATCAGAGAGAGACCAGGGAGAGACCAGCGAGAGACCAGAGAGAGACCAGGGAGAAACCAGAGAAACGAGACCAGAGAGAGACCCTACACATGGGAAAGTATCAGTTAGTAGTAGAATAAGGACTAATAAGTGCTTAATAAATACCAATTAAGAGCTAATTAACCATAAATTATATACTAATTTGCTCTTAATTATCTGTTAATGAGTGAAGGCTAAAAACGTAAGTATGGCTGAATTGGGACCTCAGTGTCTCCTCCACAGTCAATCAATCAATCAACGTTTATTTGTACAGTGAGGTTTTTGCGCTGAAGAAAGTGTTTAATCCACTCTCTGACCTTTTAAATATTCTTAACTTCTTTTCTCCCAAGAAAATATTCTTCTTTTGAAAACGTATTGAAGCCAAAAAAGTTCGCATCGCTAAGTTGTGTGTTTATATCATAGACTGTTGTGTATGAGGCCTGAACGCATCGAACCTGCACCTACGCCCGCTGCCCACACGGTGGCGGTGCGACACAGCTCAGATCAGAGGAGACTGTCCCTGCGTCTCCCACTCATCACTTTTATTACGCTTTGTGCCCATCCATGTTTGTGCCACAGATCATGAGCCGAGTGGAAAGGAAGGATTTGTTTAGAAATTTGGATGCAGCCAATGTTCTTAATGCATCCAAAACACCAGGGTGACAAGAAGGAGCAGAGAGTCAGGTCCAAACATGGGGAGGCAGCCTTTCAGATTCAAAATAACAAATAACCAGAGAGAGAGACCAGAACGACAGAACAGAGAGAGAGACCAGAGAGAGACCATAGAGAGACCAGAGAGAGAGACCAGAGGGAGAACAGAAAGAAAGACCAGAGAGAGAGACCAGAGAGAAACCAGAGAGAGAGAACAGAGAGACCATAGCGAGACCAGAGAGAGAGATCAGAGGGAGAACAGAGAGAGACCAGAAAGAGAGACCAGAGAGAAAGAACAGAGAGAGAGAGACCAGAGAGAGAGACCAGAGAGAGAGACCAGAGAGAGAGACCAGAGAGAGAGACCAGAGAGAGAGAACAGAGAGACTATAGAGATTCCTTGAGGAAGAATATAACCATTTTCAAACACTTTTTTTGTTGTATTTTTTTTTTTTTTTTTTTTACAAATGTGAGACAGGCTTCTTCAAAGGACAGAGATGATCAGAAACATGTATTAACATTTCCGTATTGGACAGTTAAGGCCAATAGGGAAGTGCTCATGGACGAAGTTTGGCTCTAACGCTCTCTGGCTCCTATTGACTTCCATGTAAACGTAACCATTTTGAGGGGAATTTTTTTTTTTTTCGCTTTCTGTGATGCTGGTGTTTAAATTGTGATACTGTCTTTATAAATCCTGATATGAGCCAATCACACTAAGCTATTAAAGCTCGAGTACCTAAAACATTAACAATACATTTAAATCCATCTATTTCCTGGCTCTATGAAAGTTTTGCTTCTATCTTTAGATCAGAGAGAGACCAGAGAGACACAAGAGAGAGACACCAGAGAGATACTAGAGAGAGAGACCAGAAAAAGAGAGACCAGGGAGAAACACAAGAGAGAGAGACCAGAGAGATACTAAAGAGAGAGCCCAGGGAAAGACACTAGAGAGAGAGACCAGAGAGATACTAAAGAGAGAGCCCAGGGAGAGACACTAGAGAGAGAGACCAGAGAGATACTAAAGAGAGAGCCCAGGGAGAGACACAAGAAAGAGAGACCAGAGGACAACATGTAATACATATTCAATTAAAAACATATGTATATTAAAAAAGCAGAGAGACCAAAAATACCATTTTGTGTCTTGCCCCTGGTCCACCCCCCGTCTCCCCCTCCTCTCCCGGCCTCCCCCGTTCTCCCCCCCTCCCTCAGAGCCGCAGCTGTTTGTCCTGAATGAGGCTGGAAATAACCCTCGGACACAACAGGCTGATACTGGATCAGACCGGACAAAGACCCCAAACACACTGCAATATGATGAGTTCAAAAGATCCAACTTTATTAACAACATAGACAGATATGAGGAGTGTGACATCACCACAGCGTTAGCCTCAACGCGGGAGAAGCCGGTTTCAACATAAGCTAGCTGGAGCCGATTTCCTTATATGGGCATTTGTTACGACGGAGACCAGAGAGAGATCAGAGGGAAAGGCCAGAGGGAGAGACCAGAGAGAGAGACCAGAGAGAGAGACAGTGAGGCCAGAGAGAGAGAGAGAGAGAGAGAGAGAGACTAGAGAGACCAGAGAGAGAGGCCAGAGGGAGAGGCCAGAGAGAGAGGCCAGAGGGAGAGGCCAGAGAGAGAGGCCAGAGGGAGAGGCCAGAGAGAGAGACTAGAGAGAGAGGCCAGAGAGAGAGACAGTGAGGCCAGAGAGAGAGAGAGAGAGACTAGAGAGACCAGAGGGAGAGGCCAGAGAGAGAGGCCAGAGGGAGAGGCCAGAGAGAGAGGCCAGAGGGAGAGGCCAGAGAGAGAGGCCAGAGGGAGAGGCCAGAGAGAGAGGCCAGAGGGAGAGGCCAGAGAGAGAGACTAGAGACGCCAGAGAGAGAGACTAGAGGCCCGAGAGAGACCAGAGAGAGACTAGAGAGAGAGACCAGAGGGAGAGAGACTAGAGAGACCAGAGGGAGAAACCAGAGAGAGAGGCAAAAGAGGCCAGAGGGAATCACACCCAAATACTCATCATTACACTGTCATTTGCAGAGTGCGCCTCGGTCACACTGGAGGAGCTCGGTGTAGAGTCTCTGCTCTTCCACTTTTAAAGGAACGTAACATCTGCCGGGTAAGATCACCATAAATTAAAGCTGGGGTACGTAACTTTCAAAACTCACAAACAATGGAACTACGCAGTTAAATCCCTGTTTAGTTTCTGTTCCCACTTATAAAGAGAGTGAAGGAGTATCAGGAGGCCAAAACTACAGATTCACAAAGTGTCCAGCCATGTGTTTGTGCTCTGAAGTGTGTTGGAAAGAGAAACACAGACAAAAGCAGTTCTCATTTGACAGTTTATTGAATAGATATTTATATATTTATAAAACTACAAAAGTAAGACTGTTCAAATGGAGACAGCGTCCGAGTCTCAGCTTTTCTCTAAATATCTGCTCATAAATATCTTTTCTACAGGCGCACGTTGATCCCAGTGTGTGTGTTTTCATGTGTACGTGTGTGTGGTGTGTATGTGTGTGTTTGTCTGTATACGTCTGTAAGTACATGTTTTATGTATCTATGTATATTTGTAAGTGTATGGGTATGTGTGTATCTTAGCTCTAAGTGTAGGTGTGTGTGTAGCGTGTGTGTGTAGCATGTGTGTGTGTGTGTGTGTGTGTGAGAATGTGTAGTGTGTAGCGTGTGTGCATATACATGTATGTGTCTTGCATAGTCAAAGGCACAGCTGAGGTCCAAACTCAAAACACTGAAAAAAACCCAGCTCATTTCACTTTTGTACAAGAACATTTGGCATTCTGAGTGTGAGTCCAGGTCCGGGTCTGGGTCCGGGTCTGGGTCTGGAGAAGAGGCTTTGGACGATTCAGATACACAGAAAAGTGGACGGTTACTTTCAAAAACACTCAGAGTTTGTAGAATGCATTTGTTACGATATTCCACACAGGGCGCTCTCCGTCTGCTCCATCGTGTCCCAATACTACTGCTGTGTATACGATGAATGCTATAGCAAATACTGATGTTAAAACAGCCCTAACATGTACTTTTCATTTCATGTTTTTATCTGTGAAATGATTGGTTAAAGCTGGGGTAAATATAATGTGTCTAGCTCCTGGTTTTATCTTTCGTTATCATGTATTTTTGGTCTCAAGTCACATTTTTAGATTCGAGAGGGACCAGAGAGAGAGGGACCAGAGAGAGAGGGACCAGAGAGAGGGGGACCAGAGAGAGGGGGACCAGAGAGAGGGGGACCAGAGAGAGGGGGACCAGAGAGAGGGGGACCAGAGAGAGGGACCAGAGAGAGGGACCAGAGAGAGGGACCAGAGAGAGAGGGACCAGAGAGAGAGGGACCAGAGAGAGAGGGACCAGAGAGAGGGGGACCAGAGAGAGGGGGACCAGAGAGAGGGACCAGAGAGAGAGGGACCAGAGAGAGAGGGACCAGAGAGAGAGGGACCAGAGAGAGGGGGACCAGAGAGAGTGTGACCAGAGAGAGGGACCAGAGAGAGGGACCAGAGAGAGGGACCAGAGAGAGGGACCAGAGAGAGAGGGACCAGAGAGAGAGACACCGGAGAGAGAGAGGGACCAGAGAGAGGCCAAAGAGAGGGACCAGAGAGAGACACCAGAGAGAGAGGGACCAGAGAGACCAGAGAGAGGGACCAGAGAGAGACCAAAGAGAGGGACCAGAGAGAGAGGGACCAGAGAGAGAGACCAGAGAGAGAGAGACCAGAGAGAGAGACCAGAGAGAGGGACCAGAGAGAGAGGGACCAGAGAGAGAGGGACCAGAGAGAGACCAAAGAGAGGGACCAGAGAGAGAGGGACCGGATAGAGACCAGACCCAGTCTCTTGTCTTGATGTTAGCATGGATTGGATATGGCTTTTAAAAACTCAAAAGCCAAATAATAAATCAGCCTTTCTTCATAGATAAATGCCAAAATATTGACATAGTGATAATAGTCTTTATAGTCACATTCATGGGCTGCTGGACTTGGGGTTTTCGGGCTAATTCCCCAAAATAAAACTTTTATTACTTCTTAGACTTTGCTGCCGTGCGGTGAATCACCGTAACCAAAGCGTCGACATAGATACAGTTTCAGTATTGCATTGTTTGTGACGAACACGTTTGAACATTGTCGAATTCCAACAATAAACAGATTATGTGGAGTTGAAATCTTTGGTTGAAATCCTGGGTCAGTGTCGGAGGCAGAGAAACCGGCGGCACACCAAGAAGCACGGAACACGCCAGGAAATGAATAGATTTGACATGAATGATTATAATTAGTCTCACTGTTGCACCAAAGACTGAAATTATTCACTTTTTTAATTGAATGAAAAAATGTACAAATATGGAGAAATGACAGAGGTTTGGGCTCAATATTTTAGATTTTGTTGGGGACGATTAATGTCAAAATAAAAATCAATTCTCCCAAGAAATATGAATAGGACCGGCCCCCGGACTGGTCCCCGGACTGGTCCCCGGACTGGTCCCCGGACTGGTCCCCGGACTGGTCCCCGGACTGGTCCCCGGACTGGTCCCCGGACTGGTCCCCGGACTGGTCCCCGGACTGGTCCCCGGACTGATCCCAGAATTGAGTAATAATCACCAGTTTAAGCGCTTATTAAAAAGGTAAAAACTGTAAATTACATAGTTTACCAATTGTTTTATTTATTATCTTAAGAGATTTTTCAGAATTTCATACATTTGAATGGGAGCCGTCAAAATGAGTAGTAGTTTCAGAATTATTAACTTTTTTTTAAGTTTTGCACCATGTTCGTAGTGCAACAAGAATTGCACTTTTTTATACACATTTTTGAGCCCAAATCTGACAAATCCAGTAAAAATCTTCAGGTTTAGTGCGTTGCCAGTTTCTCCGCCTCTCGTTCCTTTGCTCGTGTCTCTGTCCCCAATATTGCTGCATGAACTATATGCCTTAGTGGACCATGAAACATAGAAGGTACAAAAAAACATGAAAACAAAACCAACCAAAAACAAATCCGTAATAATATTAACAACAACAGAATAAAATAAACGACCGCTGGATATAAAAATGGCTTCCACCCTCGTTTCAGACGTGAGGACATTCCTACTCGCTGTACAGCCCAGAATAATTCACTTCAAAAAGTAAAATAAATATATTTACAACAAAAAAACAGGAAATAAATAACTTTTCAACGACAGAACGAAAGTAGTGAGACGCAGTGATGCTGAGAGTTCAGAGAGTTCAGACCACGCTGCGAAAAGTCAGGAAAAATAAGACAAAAATTGCTCAAATTTGGCAAAAATGTATCTTATTTTGAGCTAATTCTGGCTTAAAACAAGATTCACCGACAGCACAAAGCAAAATGATCTTGTTTTAAAAAGATACAAGAAATGTCTCCCTTGGAATGAGAACAAACAACAGTTGAAATTAAACTAAAGGGCTTCGTCCCGTTGGAGCATCTTGTGAAGTTGTGGATTTAAAACACCGTCCACTGGAACCAACATTTCACATTTAGCAGAAGACTTAAATAACAATATTTTGAGAAGAATGGGCCTAATTCATAAACAATATAAATGTTAAAAAAGGCAGAAAAGTTCACCGCTGCGGTCTATGATGTAATAGATGGGGCTAGTTTTACACAGAGGGTCCAGTGAGGGCATAAAGACGTATAAAAGCAATATTTCTGTTTTAAATATGTGTCGATCATTGTTAGCCTTCTGTTGCGGTACATCCTGAAATCCTTAGTCCTGGGACATCAGGAGTGGACTGACATTAGCTTAGCGTTAGCCTTGACTACAGCTAACGCTAACTCAAACAGGCTATTTGGCCGTGAATGCAAATGTTGTTACCAAGAGCCAATCACAGGGCTTCGCTAATGCTAGCTTAAGCCAAGATCAGGGATAGAAAGCTCTCGATTGGTCGGTTGTCTTTGTAAATCCAGATATGCCATAACAACATCACAAAATAAAAACAGTTACCGAGCTAGAGGAGTTTCCTTTAACATGGAAGTCAATAGGGAGCTAGAGCAAGTTGGAGCAAAAACTTTGTCCATGAGCACTTCCCTATTGGGCTTCCTTGAGCTAGCAGGGTAGCATTGCGCGTCCGTATACAGTCTATGGATTTTCTTCATTTGCGTTCAAAAAATGTCAATGAAAACATAATTTATGACCAACAGTAGTATTGTCTCTATGGCTTTATCATTGGCGAGCAGGGCCGGCGAGAGATGTAGGGGGCCCAGGGCGAACACTGACGCATGGGCCCCCTTTAATGTAAAATATGAATACATTAGAAAAAAAATCAAAAGTTATAAATTAACATTGAACTCACAGCATCACTGACATTTTAGTAGAAACGACCCAAAGAGGGACACTCCCCAAAAGCAAACGTGTACATCTGTAAAAACACCCCGTCCGACATTTGCACAATATTATTAGATAGAGATTAAATAAAAAATAGTTTTGATCGAGTGAAATCTTAGTTTTAATACAATAAATAAAAAAAAAACGAACATGGAAAAGGCTGTAGAATACTGTGAGAGGAATCGGAAAAGTGGTCATTGTAGAAGGCACGGTGTGATAGGGTCAGTGTGTGTGTGTGTGCGGCTCGTATTTCTAAAGTCAGAAATTGTGCGCTAATTTTTGCTTATTGCACTAAACGAACTGCCGACAAATTAAAAGTTAGATTTTGAGAGTTTTTAAAGTACTTGGGGAACCATAGATGTAGTTTAACAGCTAAAAATGTCTGTTTTCTTCCGCTTATTCCATTGCCGGGTCACGGGGGCAGCAGTCTGAGCCGAGACACAGACTTCCCCCTCCCCATACACTTCCTCCAGCTCATCCTCCGTCTCTAAAAAGAGCTCCATTCTTGTATCCTCAATCTCGTCATTTTGGTCAATACCCAAAGCACGGAGAGTGAATCGAGAGCTCTGACTGCAGACGCTGCTCCCTCTTCCCCACAAAAAGTCCGACGCAGCGACCGCAAGACATCAACGCACTTTGACTCCTTCACGTATTGCACTAAATTCTACATTAAGGCAAAGACCAGCGACTATTGCTTTAAACATTAAAAACTTTCTTTTAATTTATTTAAAAAGTGAAAACATACATCGTTTTCTCTGGAATGATGATTTTAAAAGTGTTGTAAGAAACTTTCCTGGATTTTGCACCATTCAGAGTAGATTCCAACCGTAATATTGCTCATTACTGTTATATATATTTTTGGTTGTAATTGGTTCAAAAACAGCAGAAAGTCTAGTATTTGCCTTAATTGAAATTCATACTTAAATTGCGCGTTTAAAATGTTTTCTCAAAGTTAGAAATCCGAGCGTGAATGTGTCGTGTGAAGTGTCGTGGAGTAGCTCAGACTGACATCTCATTTTTGATGCTTACAATTTTCCGACATAACAGTTCATTTATCACAGGAATAAAAACAAAATCCAGAAAAAAAATAAAAAATTAAAACTCCAAAAAATTCCTGCGCGTAACCACAAAAATATTCCAAAAGAGTCTCATTCTCTCTCAATCAAGACCCCACCAAGACTTCCATAATGTGGTCCAGTTCTGTGAGGTCTATCTTGAAAGGCTGATTGGACGACACTTGGGGGGCGGGGCCAGTGTACGGCGACGCTAGCGACTTGATGAGGTCATCAGCAGTGACCGCGGGCCCCAGTTTGGAAATCCCTCCCGCGGCCGTCGCCATGACCGCGCTCCCCGCCGTGTGCGCCGCCGTGCAAGGGTCAAAATCGTACATGGAGGTGTCGATGTCTGCAAATAGGACGTCGTCTAAAGCCAAGTCTGAGAGGAAACCCGAGGGGGAGGGGGCGGAGTCTGAAGGGGAGGGGGCGGAGTCTGTGGGCAACGTGTCCAGGAGCAAGACGCCGGCGAGATCCGGTTTGACGCGGTGCTCTCGGGAAAGCTGGGAGGTAGAGACGGTTAGAGCGGCGTGAGGGTGAGGGGGCACGGCGGTTCGTGAGGGAGGAGGGGGAGGCGGAGGGGAGGAGTCTGAAGGCTTGGGCAGAGGGCGCGGTGAGGCGGGAGGCGTGGGAGGAGCAGAGAGGCTGAACGTGGCGTTTTCCATGTTCTCCATATGGTCGTCTTCCAGGAGCGACGCAGGAGTCAGACACACCTGCAACACAATACACAGGGTTGTCAGACACGCACACACACACACACACACACACACAGAGACACACACTCAGAGACAGAGAGACACTCAGAGAGAGACAGAGAGACACACACAGTGAGAGACAGAGACACAAGCACACACACAGGGAGAGACAGAGACACGCACAGAGACAGAGACACACACAAGAGAGAGAAAGACATGGACAGAGAGAGACACACACAAGAGACAGACACACAGAGTCAGAGACACACACAGAGAAAGAAACACACAGAGACAGAGACACACAGAGAGACAGAGACACACACAGAGAGACAGAGACACACACCGAGAGACAGACACACATACAGAGAGACAGAGACACATACAGAGAGACAGAGACACATACAGAGAGACAGAGACACACACACAGAGACAGAGACACACATACAGAGAGAGAGAGAGACAGACACACATACAGAGAGAGAGAGAGACAGACACACATACAGAGAGAGAGAGAGACAGACACACATACAGAGAGACAGAGACACACACAAAGAGACAGAGACACACAGAGAGACAGAGACACACACACAGAGACAGAGACACACACAGAGAGAGACAGGGACACACAGAGACAAAAAGCCACACAGACAGAGAGACACACACACACACACAGAGAGACACACACAGAGACACACACACAGAGACAGACACACACCTCCAGAGGGCAGTCCTGAGGCATCACCAGAGCAGGCAGAGATGCGCCCGAGCCTAGAGGGTGCGGGGTAAGAGGCGGGGCTCCGAATGTGGGCGTGGCTCCGAAAGTGGGCGGGGCTTGTCGGTAGCCCTCGTCCAGCGGGTCGTCGGGCGGCGGCGAGGGCGGCAGCAGCAGCGGCCTGGAGCTGCCGTCCTGCCGCAGCTCGTCCTGGATGCGTCGCAGCATATTGTTGATGAGGACGCGGCGGCGCAGACTCGGCTCCGACGGCCGCGGCGTGTACAGCTTCAGCAGCGAGATGTTGAAGATGGTCTGTCGCTGCAGCGTGTACGACACTTTGGACAGAGCCTCGGGACACGCCACCTCCAGCGCTTTGCCTTCCAGCCGCGCTTCATCCTCTTCCAGCTTCCGTTTCAGGCCTTTACCGAACATAAATCTGTAGAGAGACGGTAAAGGTGGAGGTTAGACTCGGAGAGAGAGAGAAGGGGCGAGAGAGAGAGAGAAGGGCGAGAGAGAGGCAAGATAGGCAGAGAGAGAGAGAGAGAGAGAGAGAGAGAAGGCCGAGAGAGAGAGGAAAGAGAGGCAGAGAGAGAGAGAGAGAGAGAGAGAGAGAGAGAGAGAGAGAAGGCCGAGAGAGAGAGGAAAGAGAGGCAGAGAGAGAGAAGGGCGAGAGAGAGAGAGAGAGAGAAGGGCCAGAGAGTGACAGGAGAGTGACAGAGAGAAGGGCGAGAGAGAGAGAGAGATAGAGAAGGTAGAGAAAGAAGGGCGAGAGAGAGAGACCAGGAAAGAGAAAGGTCAGGGAGAAGGTCCAGAGAGAGAGACCAGAGGAAGATAGCAGAGAGAGACTAGAAAGACTAAAGAGAGAGACCAGGAAGAGAGCCCAAAAAGAGAACAGAGTCTTCTTCTTTCTTTTGTGTAACGCTTGAGTTTTTGTTGAGTCATCTTGTGCTGTGAGCTTCTGACTTCCACAGTTCTGTAACAGATTCTGTAAGTCTAAACATGCAGTATCTCCACTGCTCCTGCTTACAGTGACTTTCATAAAGTGTGTGTGGTGCTGCTGCCCCCTGCTGGACAAACACTGATCCACATCCATCATCTCTGAAAAATCACTGTTTCTGTCAAATGTCTTCATCTGGTGAAAGAAGAACGTCATCTTTCATCAACACCAAACCACAAGCATGCATTTTATAAAAGACCATTGTTCAAGGTCTGCTCTCTCTCCATCTATTTCTATCTCACTATGGTCTCTCTCTGCTCTCTTCCCCTCTCTCTGCTCTCTTCCCCTCTCTCCCTCTTCTCCTTTTTGTCTCTCTCTCAATCCCCATTACTTGTTAGTACATTCAGTTTACTAGCACACAAGTTGAACTGGAATGATGACTGAAGCAGAGCTCTGGTCTCTCCCTCCCTCTGGTCTCTCTCTCTCTCCCTCCCTCTGGTCTCTCTCTCTCCCTCTGGTCTCTCTCTCTCCCTCTGGTCTCTCTCTCTCCCTCTGGTCTCTCTCTCCCCCTCTGGTCTCTCTCTCCCCCTCTGGTCTCTCTCTCCCCCTCTGGTCTCTCTCTCCCCCTCTGCTCTCTCTCTCCCCCTCTGGTCTCTCTCTCCCCCTCTGGTCTCTCTCTCCCCCTCTGGTCTCTCTCTCCCCCTCTGGTCTCTCTCTCCCTCTGGTCTCTTGAGTCCCGTGCTGTGAGAGAGTGGTTGTAGCTGGTGCACTGTTATGTAAGAGCAGCTCCCGATCACAGGTCACAGCCCCTCCCCCCTGCTCTCCCCCTCCTCCCCCAACGCAGACTTTAGAATGGAGAGGGGGGAGGGGCATTCCACTGACGAGCGCCACACACCAGGACCACATCAAAAGTAGCAGAAGTGAAGTGAAAAAGCAGAGTTTGAATATCTATCAAAAAAGGAGACTTGTTTTTGTAATGCATTTAAAGCTGGGGTGCTTAACTTTGGATGTGCATAGATAATAAGTATGTAAAACTAGACCAAAACATCTCCCTTCCTCTTCTCAGAAAATATAATATTGTTTGTAAGAAAAAACCCTTTGAGTCACTATTTGATTTTTTTGGGCTGAGAGCTGATTGGCTGAGTGAGGGTGGTCTTCACGGTTTCACTGTTGTGTCTGAAGAAGCTAGTCCTGGTGCCTCTCTGGTGCCTCTCTGGTGCCTCTCTGGTGCCTCTCTGGTGCCTCTCTGGTGCCTCTCTGGTGCCTCTCTGGTGCCTCTCTGGTGCCTCTCTGGTGCCTCTCTGGTGCCTCTCTGGTGCCTCTCTGGTCCATCTCTGGTCCATCTCTGGTCCATCTCTTGCACACTCTCTATCTCTGGTCCTCTTAGATGCAAGTCAATAGGAGCCAGAAAGAGTTAGAGCAGAACTTCATCCATGAGCACTTCCCTAGTGAGCTAGCAGATTAGCATTAGTACATTCAATCTGCTTTTAACAAACATGCTTCCCATATTGATGGTGCCAAACCAAAAAAGAAGAAGAAATTAATGGATTAGCTGCATCACTACTTTAGCTTATTCTGTAGTCTCTGAGGGGGCGGGGCTTGTGCAATGGAGGAGTGCCACGATTGGCTGCTGCAGCTGTCACTCCGGATTAGCCTCAGTCACACTGCGGAGAAGCACTGCTCTCTCCCTCTCTTTGCCTCTCTCTTCCTGCCTTCTGTTCAGCTGCATCAGTGAACCAGTAACAAGCAGTTATTAAAGCTGGGGTGTGTAACTTTCAACCCAAAGAACATCGACTCGAGAACAGAAAAAAATTGCTTCCATCTAGTTTTAGTCTAGTTTAGATTTAATGTATTTCTGGTTTCTGTCACATCGGAGGGAGAGAGACCTGAGAGAGGGACTAGAGGGAGAGACAAGAGAGAAACCAGAGACAGAAAAGGGCGAGACTAGAGAGAGAGAGAGACAAGGATAAATTCTGTAGAGCAGCTTAAAATCCCTGCTTTTCTTAAACAAAAGCGTCAAAGTGAAAGTGAAAAGACTCAGATTTTATTGCTGTAAAATAAATTAGTCTTGTAAACCGGTGCCACAACAATCAGGAAGTGTCTCCAGAGTTTTTACTTTTATTGGTTCCATGATACGGGTCACAGTCTTGGCCTAAAACAATAAAAAACATGTAATAAACAAAGCCACGCTGACTAAAGTTCACATTCTTATCTCTGCTTCTATTTTCACAATGATGCTCACAAGGATTCCATAGCCACAGCTGCCCCGAAACAAGCTGTTGGAAAAGTGGTCCCTGGTTTATCCTGGGGGTGAGAGACTACAGAGAAAGAGAGACTAGGAGAGAGAGAGAGACTACAGAGAAAGAGAGACTAGGAGAGAGAGAGACTACAGAGAAAGACAGACGAAGAGAGATAGAGCTGAGAGAGAGACTACAGAGGGAGAGAGACTACAACAGGAGAGACTACAGAGAGAGAGACTACAGAGCAACCAGAGAGAGAGAGACTACAGAGAGAGAGACTACAGAGCAACCAGAGAGAGAGAGAGAGGCTACAACGGGAGAGACTACAGAGCAACCAGATAGAGAGCTGAGAGAGAGAGACTACAGCGGGAGAGACTACAGAGAGAGAGACTACAGCGGGAGAGACTACAGAGAGAGAGACTACAGAGCAACCAGAGAGAGAGAGACTACAGAGAGAGAGACTACAGAGCAACCAGAGAGAGAGGATAGAAAGACTACAGAACGATCAGAGAGAGAGAAGCAGAGACTACAGAGAGAGAGGTAGAGACTATAGAGAGAGAGAGGGAGAGACTACAGAGAGAGAGAGGCAGAGACTACAGAGAGAGAGAGGCAGAGACTACAGAGAGAGAGAGGCAGAGACTACAGAGAGAGAGAGGCAGAGACTACAGAGAGAGAGAGGCAGAGACTATAGAGAGAGAGAGGGAGAGACTACAGAGAGAGAGAGGTAGAGACTATAGAGAGAGAGAGGTAGAGACTATAGAGAGAGAGAGGGAGAGACTACAGAGAGAGAGAGGCAGAGACTATAGAGAGAGAGAGGGAGAGACTACAGAGAGAGAGAGGTAGAGACTATAGAGAGAGAGAGGTAGAGACTATAGAGAGAGAGAGGCAGAGACTACAGAGAGAGAGAGGGAGAGACTACAGAGAGAGAGAGGCAGAGACTACAGAGAGAGAGAGGCAGAGACTACAGAGAGAGAGAGGCAGAGACTACAGAGAGAGAGAGGCAGAGACTACAGAGAGAGAGAGGGAGAGACTACAGAGAGAGAGAGGGAGAGACTACAGAGAGAGAGAAAAGAGGGAGAGACTACAGAGAGAAAGACCAAAGAGAGACTAAAGAGAAAAATAGACCACAGAGAGAGACGAGAGAGACGAGAGAGAGACACCAACAGCGAGAGTGACGTCTGGTCCTGAAATAGACTCAAAGCTAAAAACCTTCCTGAAACATGACAAGATCAAAACACTGACAAGATCAAAACACTGACAACACCGCCCTCTCCTGGTGTCAACCGTAAACTACAACCCCCAATGCAAGCCGTTAGAAACATGGATCTGTGTTGGTGAAAAACGCCAAATCCATGAGAGATGATCGTCGTGGAGACTGGAGAAAAAGCTGAGGTTTGAGAATCTGGAGGTGGCGGAAGTGAGAAACACAGAAAATCTGACTCAACTGAAGTTTGTGACTAAAGTTTGGAGCAGCTGCTCGTGAGTCACAAACAGAGACATACCAGAGGCCCCACCCCAGCATGCCTCTGTCTCCTACTAAAAGACTACTACTACTACTACTGTTACTATTGTATCTACTACTACTGTTACTACTATTGTTACTACTACTACTACTACTACTGTTACTATTGTTACTACTACTAATACTACTACTATTACTATTGTTACCACTACTACTACTATTGTTGTTACTACTACTACTACTATTGTTATCACTGCTGCTGCTGCTACTGTCATTAGGAGTGGCTGACAGCTCACATCATACAATAAATCATTAAATATTACCAGAGAGACACTAGAGAGAGAGAGAGAACAGGGAGAGAGACTACAGAGAGATACCAGAGAGAGAGACGAGAGAAAGACAAGGGAGAGAAAGTAGAGAGAGAGGGACTAGAGAGAGACCAGAGAGAGACTAGAGAGAAACCAGAAAGAGAGACCAGAGACAGACTATAAAAAGACAAGAGATAGATCGGAGTCACTAGAGAAAGACCAGAGTAAGAATACCCAGAGAGACACAAGAGAGAGAGACCAGAGAGTGAGACCAGAGAGAGAGACCAGAGAGAGAGACCAGAGAGAGAGATCAGAGAGTGAGACCAGAGAGTGAGACCAGAGAGAGAGACCAGAGAGTGAGACCAGAGAGAGAGACCAGAGAGAGAGACCAGAGAGAGAAACCAGAGAGTGAGACCAGAGAGTGAGACCAGAGAGTGAGACCAGAGAGAGAGACCAGAGAGAGAGACCAGAGAGAGAGATCAGAG